GTAGGTCAGGACCCTCCTAGATCCCCGTGGAAGTCCACTCCTGGTGGACGGGCTTGGACAGGCCAGGCTTTTTCTCCTCTACCCATACCCATGCTTCATAAACCTGCCTGCTCCTCTTTCTTCCGAAACGCTCAATCCTTACCAATTGACTCCTCCTGCTCGTGGTCGATTTAGGGCTATGATTCCCCCCGCCTCCACCCCCACTTCCTGTCGCCCGTAAGAAAGCATTGTGCTGATCAACGGCTGCCACGAGGCCAGGACTTAGAACCGCAAGCCTATTGGGAGCTTCGGACACGAAACTCTGTCGATAAAGAGGCGGAGGGGATTGAGGAAAGACTTGAGCACGTGGGCATATGCGCATGTCTCTATGTTTTTTTTTTAAAAAGTTGGCCCCATTCATACTATCTTGCTCAAGCAGACTTCCCTTAAATGACCAGCGTGCTTTACGTGCGCATGATTTCATGACAAGGGTATTTGGGAAGGAATCAAGATGGAGAGGGGGGGCTAAAAAGGTGGCGTCACTCATTATGTTTCTGCCACCGCCGAGCTCAACAAAGCTGGGCGGCAGTAAAAAGTGGCGCAAACAATTATTTCAAGTCCCATAAGTTAAAAGATCTTCCATAAATTCTCCACTGAGAGTGTTACTTTTGGAGCATGCGGTGATATCAATCATCCCAAGCCTGGCGAACAAGCAGCCGTTGAGAAGCTTGAACTCTGCTATTCAAAGCCGGCAAGGTCCACCATTCTCCAAAATATCCGTACCTTTTCTGAGCGCGTGTCCGACAAGTGCAGATTTGGTGGGCCCGCGGAGCTTTGTGGGGTGGGTGAGCGTTGAGAGGCCATGATATTGACCTGTGTCTCTCCCTCCAAGCTGCCCTGCCAGGACCCGACCAAGGAGACTGTATGTCGGAGAGGTATAAGAAAGGTATAAAAGTCCACTTCCCAACGAACCGACACCACTCTTATCGGTATCCTATGTATTGAAAAGTCATGACCGGACAAGAAAAGACGTGCAGGCCCTACGCACAGAAAAAGACCCCCCAACGCCTCCCCTGAAATGCAGGGTAGGGGAGGGTAGCTATTAAGCGAGGGGCCGCTCAGTGGATGCAGGGCCATTGTTAATTTCAGACCGCGCGATTATGACCAAACCTGACCTTATGGGCTCCTAATACGGAATCAGGTCTTTTTTTACACCACGTGTGGTCTTCCTCGGACGTTTTGTTGGTTGTCGGTGGTTTTATCAACAAAGCTCGCGCCTCCTCATATTTCTTCGACAGCGTCTCGGACGTACCGGGCACTATGCCGCCGGGGCCCTCTCCTGCGTTCGACGCCAACAACGCCGGCATGAGCACCTACGGTCCAGCATTTGGAGCATCCTCACCTGTGTTGAATAAAGGGGTCGATGCCACCGGTCGCGCCCGACGTCCAAAGCGAAAAAAGCCTCTTGACCCGACGGCGGCGGTGATGTTGCAGATGGAGGGGGCGCCCTTTTGGACGACCTGGAGGGACCAGCCCGTGATACAGGTGACAAGCACGCATGCTCAAGGGCATTCGTTGGACGGCTGGAAAGGGATGCTATGCCGCGACAGTGTGAAGCATGGGGACGCGTCCATGTGGTTGATTCCATCCCTCTCCCTCTCCTTCCCTCCTCCCCTCCTTCCCACTCTTCTTCCTTCCCTCCCTCCTGTTTTCGTCTCTCTCCCTTCCACGACAGCCGCACTCCTCCTACTTCAAGTACTTGACCCCTCCTGCTGCCAACCTCCACAACCCCGTGTCCTCCCTCCCCCTCTTCCACCTCCGCTCCATCGTCATCCGCGACAAGGAGAAGCAAAAAGGCCCCATC